TTGTACTAACCTTACGCTTGTTAACATCAAGCCAACTCCAAAACCTAGGAGCAACTGTACCTATCAGATGTCTTGTTTCGCTAAGACACTGAAGTGTTTGCAAAGTTCTCAAACATTAGGTCTTGGGAAATAAGCCTCCAGCACAGTAAAGTGCAGATCACTGGATGGCTAACATAGCCTTGTCTGCCAAGACAAATCTCAGATCCTATGGAGTGGCACTGAAACAACTTTGTTCACTGAAATTCTGTTCCAGCTCTCCAACACCTTTAAAACACATCAAAAATAAACAGAGTTGTCAGGCTAATAAATTGATGCAGCGAGACTCTTGCCGTTGAGGTTTGCTAAGCAAGACTGTCACTTCTTTTTGTAAATTGCTCGTCTCTCCAGAGATAGAAATTAAGTGCAAACCACAAAACTGGTTTAGCTACACAGACTTAAGGAATCTTATGAAGTGTATCTTACATACTTTAGCCCTTAAACATCTACATTTATCTGATGACCCAGAATGAACCCAAAACAAAATGCAATGCAACATCAAAATTAATGCGAAACATACATGACATTTCCATCATATCTTTGGTTGACTTTGAAAAAGAATAGGATCTTCCACATAGGTGTCAAAACCAATGGGAGATAACAGGTCATTCTCAGGCTGTTCCTCAGAATCCTTTAGTTCAGTGGTTCTCAATCCTGTTCCTGGCGACCCACCTGCCAGAACGTTTTCATTCCAACCCTACCTTAATCAGGCTTATATGGTCCTTAATAGGCTAAAGCTGGTTACAGACCGAACGCGGCATGCGCTGTGCTCGCCGCGAGGCTTCTGCGCAAAGAGTAGGCGTGGTTTTCAAAACGCTCTCCTGTCATTTTGGCTCGCAGTCAGTAGCGACGATGTATATTTCACATTCAAAAAGATTCTACGCTTGTGTGATATAGCTCTGGGAACTCAGACACGGACAATATAAGTCTTTCCTCCATTTCGTTTTCTGTGCCCAGTTCGGTGCCTTGTTTCTTTTGATCGCGAGAGAATTCATCACAGCGCGCAGCGGTCAAAGTTCAACAAAGGCACGGAGCACAGCGTAGTGTATGCCGTGTTCGGTCTGAAACCACCTTAGTCTATTAAGGACCATATAAGCCTGATTAAGGTAGGGTTGGAACAAAACATTCTGGCAGGTGGGTTACCAGGAACAGGATTGAGAACCACTGCTTTAGTTTTAGCCAAAACATTAACCTAAAGTCACCATTAACATCTGTTCAGTTGCTTGGAGTAAATTGAAGAGGCACCCCTGAGATTCAACGCAGACATTTTCAGGTTACATGCATAAACGCTGGTACCAGCTGCCCCAATGCACGGCCACTCAGTGGGACGCGAGACTGAACAAAATGGGGATGAGAGAAAGAGGAACGAGAACTTGTTAGACAGACAATCCAGCACATACACAAAAAACTGGAACTGTCGACTGCAGACGGGTGACTGAGGGTGGTTCCCGGCGCGGACGTGTCCAATTTCAGGCTGAAGAACAAGCTTGTAACCTGCAGTGAGGATGGGGGGACCAGGAGAGCCCCTCATCCTCAGTGAAGCAGGGTGATAGACGCTAACAAGTGGCCTGCGTGCTTGGGGGAAGTCACTGGCTTCACCACAGATGTTTGCCCAAACAGACAAACAAACTAAATGCACAGAGTAATTGGAGCCCTGCGTGCAAGATTCACACGTGTGTGACATTTTTAATTTACATAAAACCTGGTTAATTCTCACCATGCCTTTGTGTGGCAGCAGTGAAGTCAGGGTCCTGCGGCAAGCTGATGGGCAAATGCAAACAAGGCATCGAGCGTTTAGAGGAATTAATTCAACGGGGATGGAGGAAGGAATTTAAAAAAAAAAAAGAAAAAGAAAAAGACAAGCTTCCCATTTCAGCAAATCTGGTATTTAAAGCACAAATGAAAGGCTTTGTTAAGAGGAGGCTCTGGCCCAGCACGGCGGCCCTTTTCTGTAAACTGATGTTCCTCCATTATTAGACCTACAATAAAGTAACAGCAAAAATAAGAGGGAAGGCCAGGCTTCTGATTAACACTTTGGAGAGTAGCTGACAGCTTCCTGGAGGGAAACGGGGAACTGAGGTTGCCTGATGGGAGGGAACCAAAAAAATTAATATACGAATGTGGGAGGAACGATGCTGACAGTACCTGCATGTTTCGGTTGTTCCTTCTCTTAAAAAAGGGATGCAGATACAGAACCATTAAAAATGTCCTGGGGTCCGTTAAGGTTAATGACTTGGGCACCGAGAGAGGCAGCACGTACCGGGTCTCTACGCTGTCAGGCACCGTGTGCATGGGTGCAGCTCTGCATTTGGCACCTTTCTCTCCCATCTCCTTACCCGAAATCAGGCTTGGCACACGGGGGCCTCTCTGCACATCCTTGAATCAGAAGGGGATCCCGCAGGCTGGGGACAGCCTCCTGCCGGCTGCTGGCACGGCGTGACAGCTCTTGGGGAGGACGGAGGGTGGGGGTGTGTAGGTTTGACGGCGATTTCCAGGTGTGCCGTGGGCCAGTGTGTGGAAAAGCAGCCGCTCTCGCTGTCATGGCTTCCCGCCGCTTCCCAGAAGAAGCTTGGCGACTTTGCCAGAACCGAATCTCTCAGTTCTCCGATGCTTAAGGCTTATTATGGAAATATCCACCCCCCCCCCCCCCTTAAATCTGACAAAGTGTGAGGCAGCTCAGTGCTATGTGAGGACAGAGGGGGTGTAGGAACCATGATGGTGTGACTGCTCCACTGACTTCAGAACCTCACCTTGCTTTGACCTGCTCAATGTACTTTGTGAATTGCTGGGGGGGGGGGGGGGGGGGGAGAAGAGATACCAGCCAATTACAGCTGAGCAAAAACCAAACCGAAGCCACTAATAACAGACGAGCCGCTGATACGGTGATACGGTTCATTCATGGATCTGTAGCAGTGTGAGAGAGAGCCGACACTAAGAAGAGAGCGTGCGTTTGCACGTGGGAGTGACAACGGAGAAGCGTCAATGTGCACACATTACGATCACGGGTCTGAAACCAAGGGAGGGGTGTGTGTGCAAGCAGGAGACTTAACCAGGAGACACGGCTCACGTTACTGCACGAAAGCTTTAAAGCGGCTCAACGGACGCTGGTAAATGAGTATGTACAGCAGAATCCTTCTGCATGTCGACCACCTGCGTGAGGAACAGCCCCTTCAGGGTCTCCAGCTCCCACAGCGGCCTTGCCAGGCCAGCGGCACACAGGAGCCATTCAGCAGCAGAAGCTTGGGCAGACTTAAAGGTTATTTACAGTGGGCATTCAAACGGGAAATGTACCACTAATGTGAATAAAGAAGGGGACCTGGGTGGGTGGGGGATCCATGCATGCAGAGACATCGATTCATGCATAATTAAAGAGAAGCTGATATCACAATAAGAGCCACAGCGTACTGCGCTACTCGAATGAAGGGCAGCTTTTCCAGGCGGGAAATGGGAATGAATGCTGCATTCATTGTCTAAGTAGCACAAGTCACACAATTTTGGATTCTTTAATAGAAAGAGTGGTAAGCCTAAGGTTCCTATGTGTTCCTTTGGGGGGGGGGGGAGTCTCAGTGCCAGGGGCCATTACTCCCTCCCTGCTGACTGCAGTGCCAGCA